GGAATGTTAAGCTGTGGCTCTGGGCCAGCACCCAGGCTCCAAGGGTAGGGGCCTCCCAGATCCTCTCCCCAAACCCCCAAACCTATTGCTCTCAGAAAGGTGCCCGGGATGGAAACCCCACCCTGCCATGGACCCAGGCTCAAGTCCACGCACTTTGTCCGCAGGATGCCTACGACATCAGCCAGCTGCGCCACCCGGCAGAGCTGGCAGCCCTGAGTGCCCCTCTGGGACGGCCACTGCTGCGCCGCGACACCCCGTTCAGCTGGGTGCGCCCCCCACCATCCCGCGTGCTGCCCACCAGCCCCGCTGACATGGCAGACTTCATCAACGATGTAGGTCCCCCAGGGGTGGAGAGGGCAGGGGGCACACACACACCACACACCACACACAAGTACATCCATGTACCCCGTACATGCACAGCCGCAGGGAGTGGGCTCACTCCTGGGGACCCTGACCGAGCTTCCAGGAAGCTCCTGAGGACCTGAGAGCTGAATGAGGCTTGTGGAACAGAGGGTCACAGCCACTTAAGCCCCGGGGAAGTGGAGGCCCTGACACCCGGCACAAGATCACGGTAGACCCAGTGGAGCTGGGGCTGGTTGTAGGCTGCACTGGCCACAAGCGCTGGCAGAGGAGACGTAATGAGCCCTGCAGGTAGAAGTGCAGCTGTCAGCTAAACCCAGGCGTCCATAGTCGCTCCTCTGGACACAGCATCACTGACTTCTTAAGGTCAACACAGGAGATGCCCAGAACCTGGGAATCCCATTGAGTGGGCGACAGGGGGAGCAGGCAGGCACTTCTCAGTAGTGCGAGGGGCAGGCCCAGGTTCAGGTATGCAACCTGCAGAAGCCAATGTGTATATTAACAGGTGGAGGCAACAGACCAGCCAAACCTTTAAGAGGCAGAACCAACTGTTCTCCAGATGGGGTGTCAGGAAGCCTCAGGCAGGACAGTCTTCAGGGAGGGCTGGGCCCAAGGAAGGAATCAGAGGGAACCTTCTTTTTTCAAATCTGAATCCTGGGACTGGGGCTCCCAATGGTGCTGCTCCTCAAACCCCGGTAACCCTCAGACCACCTCTGCCCCTTCCTGGTGCCATACCTTGGTTGACCTCACCCTGCACTGCAGCTGGGGTGCGTGTGCCTGAACTCCTGGGGCCTCTCTGTAGGGCTTGGAAGCTGCGGACAGTGACCTCAGCGTCCCGCCCTACGACACTGCTCTCATCTATGACTACGAAGGAGATGGGTCCATGGCAGGGACACTGAGCTCCATCCTCTCCAGCCAGGGTGACGAGGACCAAGACTACAGCTGCCTCCGGGACTGGGGCCCTCGCTTCGCCCGGCTGGCCGACTTGTACGGCCCTCCCTGAGGGCCGGATGCAGTGGCCACTCAGGACGGGGCAGAGCTTTCTGATGGGGACCTGCACCCACCCTGCTGAGGGCACAGCAGTTGGACACAGAGGGTGGACATCCTCACCAGGATGGACAGCCTGACCACAGAGGTCTGACTGCACGTGTCAGCAGCTGGCCGTGTAGCGGGGAGGACTGGCTGACCTGTGCAGAGATGCCGCAGGGCATCTGGTCCCACACGCCAGGTGCTTTGGGCAGCCTGCTTCTCCCGGGGAAGACAGAGTCCCAGGGGCAGAGCCCGGAGCCTGGAGTGGAGCTGTGGGAAGGAGGTGCCTCTCCCACCCTGAGAGCCCCACAAGCACTGCTCTGAGTCACCTGTGAGGGGGGCAGCCACCCTCATTCCCAGCTCCGACACCCCATGCAGATTTCATCTTTGTATGAAAGGAAGCAGCTCTCCGGCAAATGTGAATTAAAAGTGTGGTCTTTCCGGTACAGGGTCTGCACAATGACCTGCAGTGCCTCACTCCACCCGAGTCAGGCCAGGGCTGCAATGGGGACTGGCCTCCCAAGGGGAGCGGTGGGAGGGGCTGCAGGCATCCTGGCTTGGACAAGCTTGGAGTGGGGACCCCCTCAGCCCAGGATGCAGCCCGAAGGAAGAACTAGTGAGGATGTCAAGTTCCATGGACACCTTTATCCTTCACAAGTGGGGGTTGGGGTGAGGAGGCCAGGGCCCCCAGGAACAAGGGGCCCAACCGAGGACTCCCCCTTCACACTGAGCCCACAGCTCCTCCCTGAGACCCCTCTGCCCACACTGACATGTGGCCATCTGAGGGGAGGTGTGTCTGTCCAGCCAGAGTCACCCTTCCTGGACCAGTTGTGTCTGGGCCCAGCAGTGGGAGGGTGGCAGCAGGGGCAAGTAGTCCTGGCGGGGACGGACCCGAAGGAGCGGTGATCGGCGCAGGCGGTCAGCATCCTGCAGTGACTGGGGCAGCCCACGTCCACGGCTCTCAGGCAGCAGCAGGACACACACCAGGGCAAGGATGGCGAAAGAGGCGAAAACCACGTGGAGCAGGAAGAAGCCCCGCCGGCCATGCATGTCAGCGATGGGGGCGGCCGCCTGGCCCAAGAACCCAGCACCCAGCACGAGGCCCAGCCCTGCCGCCCTGCAGGAGAGGGTACAGTGTGGGCAGCCTGGGCAGGTGGCCATCCGCCATTCCTGACCTTTCTGTGCCAGTATCCTCCATGTCACCCAGGAAAAGACCATCTGAACTCCAGATGTGACTGAGTGGAGAAATCTCGGGTATACGCTGGGGAGGGAGCGGTGTGGGGTGTCCAATCTCAAGAGGACACAGTGTGTCCCGGCTGGGCAGTCCAGAGCTCACCTGATCACTGTGGGGAAGATCTCGGCTGCAAAGAGGCTGCTGAGGGTGGACACGGCCTGGGCGGCCAGCAGCCCCAGGACAGAGAGGGACAGCACAGTCCAGGCCGGCAGGTCTGGGGATGAAGAGAGGGTCCCATGCTGCCCAGGCCCGGTGGAGCCAGGCTCCCCCCTCGTCCATGTCTCAAGGGGTCCTGCTGGGCCTGCCCTCCCCAACCATTCACCCCTGCACCTGCACCCTGGGTTTGGCATCAGGTGTTGCAGGCTGCCCCCGTCCACACCAGACCCTTATATTCAGCCCCTTCATGTATATCCTTGTAGCCCCTTAACTCTTTAGGCCTCAGTTTCCCTGGGTGCACAGTGGGAAGATGAACAAGGTAAAAAGACAGTAGCCTCATCCCAACACACGTGCTTCTCTCTTATGACCCCAGGAGGGGGCTGATCCCAGGACCCTCCCCGCTCCGTCGGGCTGACCTCAGCCAAACAGGATGACCCTGTTCGCCTACAGGGCTCTGCACTCACACTGGACCCCTGAGAGAATCAGCAGGGATGCCAGGCCCATGACCAAAGTGCCCAACAGCAGGACCAGGCGGCGCCCCCAGCGATCCACTGTCAGGAGCAGGAAGACGATGGCCACCACCTCTAGGCCAGCCCCCAGGAAGTAGGGTCCGTAGAAGGCCAGCTCATGAGCGGCCAGTCTTCGGAAAAAGCTGGCTCTCATGCCCCCACTGACCAACCTGGGAAAGAGGGCAAAGCTATGGATTCAGCCAGAGCTCAGGACTCTGGAGACTGAACCCCAAAAAGGGGTGGTGGGGCACAGACCCTCTCAGCCCACCCACACCCTCCTCTCCTCACGAACTGAAGCCCAGGATGAGTCCATTTCTCCAGGTGACGCGCGTGTGCAGTAGCTCTAGGACCCAGTGGCGCTGGGGCTGGGGGTTCCCTGCAGACAGCACATCTAGCTCTATGGATATGAGAGAACATAAGAGGGTGTGTCTGTGGGGGTCCTCCTCCAGCACCCAGGCCTCCCTTCTCCTGGCTCCTCCTGGTGCATTACCCGTAGCCAGGGAGCTCTCCTCCTCGGAGCTGCTCTCAGGGTCCACGCCGCTGGCTTCCGCAAAGTGCCACAAGATCTTCCTGGCTTGGGCCAGCTGCCCCGTGGCCAGCAGCCAGCAGGGAGACTCCGGGAACAGGGCTGGGAACCTGCAAGGGTGGGGTGAGGATGCCTCAGGTCCTCCACACAGGGACAACAAGGGCCAATGCCCTTCCTCCCTGGAACCAGGGTCAGGACATCAAGTGGCTTTCTGTGTCCCTATCCCACACCCACATGCCTGGTGCCGCACAGAGGTGTAGAGGGAAGTGACAGGTGGCCTCCATGGAGGCTGCTGACCTGTCTCCTGCCATACTTACCCCCAAAAGAGCAGCAGGAGCCCTGTTGCCAGGGCACTCAGCCCCTGCAGAAGATGCCAGTCCTGTGCGAGCAGGGCCAGACCAGGCGACAGCAGAGTGCCCGCCACCAAGAAGAGGCCGGCCCCCATGGAGAACGTCAGGCGGTGTGGGGGGTCACACAGCTCCAGGCCTGAGCAGATAGAGATGGCCTGAGGCCGAGTCCTCTAGAGAGGGCAGCTCTGCCCCGGGCTGTGGGCACCAACTGCTGACCTGCCCAGGAGTGGACATCTGAGCCAACTCCCTGCCCACTCCAGCACCTGAGCCAGCCGCAAACAGCAGAGTCACACAGCAAACAGTGCCCTTCCATCTTCTCAAGAAGAGCCCTCAACAAGAGTACAGGGAATCCCCCCTGCGGCTGACGTCCTCCGCTAGTGGGGTTGGAGGCCTAGCCTGAGTGGGTGCCCCTCTCCAGTCCCCCACAGTACTCACGAGTCACATAGAGGGCCAGAGAGGCCCCTGCCAAGGACCCCCCGTGAAGCAGCCGCAGGGCCAGCAGGGCAGGAAAGCTGGCAGCCAGAGCCTCACCAGCCCCCAGGCCTGTGGCCAGCACCAGGGAGGACACAAACACAACTCTGCGGCCAAACCTGGTGGGCAGTGGAGGACACAGATGGATGCCAGTCAGGACAGCTCAGGGGTTTAGCTGGACCCTGAGGGGCTCAAGGGGAGGGGCAGCACCTCACCAGTCACAGCCCATGCCCAGGATGATACAGCCCAACAGCCAGCCCAGGAGGTGGCTCGTCTGCTCCAGTGGCACCTTCCAGCCGTTCTCACACACGAGGTTCCACTGCAGGGGACACCCGTCACTGTCAGCCAGCCAGGACCCCCACCGTGCGGAAGTCCCCAGAATATCAGGCTGGAAGGGTCCCTTAGACATCCTGCTCCAACCCTCCCTTGATAGAAGGGGAAATTGGGGCACAGAGAGGGCAAGGGACCTGCTCGGGGTCACACAGTGTGGGTCCTGACTATGGTGGGCGTCACATGGAATTAGAAGAATGTCTGAGCTGAGTCCCCCGGGGGTGATGACCTGTGGTCCCCAGAGGACCCACATGGAGCCCCAAGTCTGGTTTCTGTTTTTCTGGGTGGAGTTTCATTCACCTCTTTCCAGCCCTCACTCTCCCCCACAGCCTGGACCTCAGCTGACCTTAGTTTCTACCTGCTGGGCCCTGGGCCTCCAGTGCCTTACCCTCACTTCTCCTCTGCCCTGCTCACTTCAAGAGCAGCTCCCGGAACAGCCTGCAGAGCTGTGCTCACCTGCTTTTCCTGTCAAGGGCACTTGACCTCAGTTTTGCACCTCCCCACCTTCCCACTAAGGTCCTGTGCCTTTTGTACAAGCTTAACATACTGTCTGGAGTCACAGTGTGTCCGAGTTTTCATTTTAAAATCCAGCTGACTGATCGATATACCAACAGGAAGCAGGTGTGTGGTGGAACAGAATGGGTGGGAGAAGAGAAGCCCTGCTGGTTGGAGGGCCAAAGGCAGGACTGGCAGGGATGTGGCAACCTCGCCCCAGTTTCCACACTGGGGCCGATCCTCCCAGGGATGGGGGTGCAGCTGTGGGGCTGAGGCTGCCAAAAGGAGTTAGGGTCAGAAGGTACTAGCTGCCCCTCCCCATGTCTTCTCACCCAGACCCCTGAGTTGCCCCCTCGGGCACCCCTGCGTCTAGGTCTGCCTTTCCCAAACTGAACTGACTGTACTGCTCCCTTGATTCAAAGCCTTCTGTTTTGGAAACCCAGTCTTGACATAGCCCACAGCTACAGGTTGCTCAAAATGTTCCTGGCCCTGAAGTGAACTCCTGGTGCCGCCTACCTGGTCATACCTTCAGCTTAACTCCTCCTCTTCCTCCCCCAGGCTGCCTGCCCACCTCGGCAGCCCTTGGGTCGTGGACTCTACCTGGCACCCTCATCACTTGGGCATGAGGGACAGAAAGGGGGAGAAAAAGGGGGGTAACAGAAAAAAACGGGAGAAAGGAGGGGGAGAGAGCACGAGAGAGAAAGGAGGAGAAAGGAGGGGGAACAGAGGAGAGGGGGCAGAGGAAGGAGAACAGAGAAATGGGGGGAGAGGGGCAGGGGGACAGAGGAATGGGGGTACAGAACAAGGGGGTTACGAAGGAGGGGAGCAGAGTTTGGGTGGCAGGGTGCAGAAGAGCAGTCCTCTCGCACCTGGGTGACTGGGCTGCGCAGCAGGCCGGCGGCGGGCAGCGCGTAGTGCCAACCT